CCGTGCATGGTCAATGGGACACCCAAAATTTGCAACTTTACAATTACAGTAATGGTAACATTGTGCAAGTACAGTGTACACTGAAGTAAGACCCAAACAAAGTCGCCGCTCGTTCTCCTAGATTTCTAACCGCTTTATCTCGACCTTTGTCCGCTCATGGGCAGTACCCGCCCCCGAACCTGCATACTGCAATGTGGCGTACGCCGCTTTGGTCAAGAATGACGGGTTGATGGCAATTGTGCTGTCCAGGACCTATACAAAGCGGATGTGAGTATTTATACAATTGTAGATCCTACGCACTCACCTTGGAGAAATGCTTGAGCCGGCTCGGGACGATGAGGACATCGGGCGCGCTGTCATCGAGCGCATCGACATCAAGCTTGAGCCTGTCCGCCGCGTGTGTTATGTCGAGATTCACGTCATGCGCGAGGTCAACAGGAACCGGAAAAATCGGGTAGAAGCTATCAATCACGATCAATATGGGATAGATGTGTTAAAGCAGCTCCTCGACGTACCTGCGTTGTTGGAGGATATGCCGACACAATTTGGCCATAGCGTCCCCACCCGAGTCTTCGGACGACGGAGGGGCCGGTACGGAGTCTATTTCCTCTGCACGCTTGAAGAACTCCTCTTTTCGCAGGTGGAACAAGACATCAGCACTGTTTACAGCAAATGTTACGTCGTTCAAGGAAAAGCGGCAAGGATTCGGTAAGAGTCGAATGCGCTGTCCAAGATTTAGTGAGTGAGGATCAATGGATAGATGCAAGTGACTGACTGGATCCATGGCGAACTCTGGTCCAAATTCGGCCTGTGGGAACACAGCGTGTTGACTTATGATATCGCGTACACTTGGGACCAGCAGCACAATACTACCGGGTGCTCCGTCAAGAAAGGTCCGTAGGCTGTCGAGGAATTGCGAGCGAAAAATATCGGTTGGTGTATTATCGATATCGCCGTTTTTGAATCTCGGATGAGCCACATCGGTGAAAGGACCAATCTGCTAAAAGTTGAGAACCATCCAAAACAAGCGGAAAAGACAATACGCACAAGCAGAATTGCAGCTGGCTTCGTAGATTTGATGTTGTCGAGTAGGGTATGCCACGGTTTATATTTTAGATCCGTATCCAGAGTAAACGGTCCGCTTGCTATAACAAGTGAGAAAGAAGTGTCCCCAGGATCTGGTTTCATCCCGCTTCCTGTAGATGGTTTCAGAGGGGGTAACTTTCCAGATCGCTTGAGTGTGCAGAACTCTCGAAATAACGATAACATTGTGCTCACGGATAAAATTTCGCTAACGGCAAACGATCCTCCTCCCCCGTTTTTGCCCTTGAGCGCTACAATCGCGCCAGGGAAGAGTCCGACGCCCCCAGCACCCCGCGGTGCGCCGCGCACTCGCACTTGAGAGTCAAATCGTAAGGGAACGCGCGCGCCAGAGCCCATCATTCGAGATGCCTCGAGTGTGAGCGAGGCCTCGTTGAGCTTCACGGAACCAGACGACGAGTCACTGTCAAGGGTGATACGACCAACAACAGTTATCTCCTCCTACGCATTATGAATACGAGGTTAGCGTGCGCAGGGGATATCCGGGGATCATCATTACCTCGGTAGATGCACTCGGGTCGCCCAGTTCTGGGATGTTGTAGTGTTCTCGGATCAGCTCCGAGAACTCGTCTATTCTATCGTCAAGAGCTTTAGAGGTCAAGGTAAGAGGGTATATGCATATGATAAAGAACGACACGAGAACAAACCTTCACTGCGCTCCGACACCTTCTCGTACATATATCTGTCTGGCAAATGTAAACATATTGTAAGTCTCGAAAGGAACGCGCTCACAATTCCGTTTTTTCCGCGAGGCTTCATCTTGTTTGGGTCCATTGTACGCCACCTTGCTTGGACCTGCAAAGTTGGTTCGCGGTCGGTCATCGCCTGCCAAATTAGAGGACCGGGTCGATGCTGGCGTCGGTGACGCCTTTCCGAACGCCATCCTCTCTAGTCCACTAGGACGGGATCCCCTTCCCCTCCCGAAATTCGCTAAATGTGGACGCGCCTGTGCGGCCTGCTGGGCCTTCTTGGTTTCCGCTGCCATATCGCGTTGAATCTGGCGCTTCAAGGCGAGCGCCTGGTCTAGGTTGAAGATAACTGGACCAGTACGCGTCGCACTGAACGAGAATGCTTCCCATTTGTACAGAAGGTCCTCAGGTGAGATGTTAAAGTTCTGGCATATATTTATACCTAAAGGGCATGGTAAGAGCGAGCGCGTCCGGACACGAGCGATAGTGGACCCGTACATTCTGTGCACAAAGCATCATCAGATCCAAACTGTTCGCCAAAAGAATTCACAAGTTCAGCGCGTAGTTTTGCTGTGGCCATGATAACGCGACAAGGGAAAAGCTGAGGCAGAGACACTGGTTGAAGGAAGACAAGCAGAACACAAATTCAAAGTTGAAGCCGACGCGTCGAGGATTTTGAGCCGCGCCACCGCGCCGCGACCTTTACGACGATGAGCTCGAGCCGATTTGACGAAGAAACCGACAACGACGACGACGACGACCGTCTCAACGGTATCTCCGATAGCCCTGACTCAGGAGACGATGTACACCCGACTGTGCGCACTCCGAGGAAGAGGAGGAAACATGCGAGCCCCGAAGATCATCCAATGCTCATCAGTCGTACTGCGTTCGACGCGTATTTTACGCACGCCTCCTCATCCTCTAAAACTTCGGCGAATGTCTTTTCTAACATTCTACCTCCTTTGAACTCAGAGGAATATGTGGACGCTATCAGCAGGTCGAGGCACGCCGTGACCATACCCGACATCTGGCCTGAAGACGCACTGACTGCTACCCTTGCGCGGTGTTTTCGGGAGCTTGAAGAGGGTTTCAACCTAGTATTCTACGGCTATGGATCCAAACGGTCCGTCATCAATCGTTTTGCGGCAGAATATTGCGCAAAAGCAGGCTCCGTCGTGGTGGCGAACGCATTTCGTCCGTCGTTTACACTGAAAGATCTCGTCGGCTCCATCGAAAATATTCCAGGGATCTCCTCTATGCCGGTGCTCTCGGGTGGAATAGACGGACAAATAAAACGCATCGCGGATTTTTTTGCGGAACCAGACCAAACACACCTCTACCTTGTTATCCATAATATCGACGGTCCTGCGCTCCGCGCCCCGAGAGCCAGAGCCTGTCTCGCTCTCCTTGCCCGTACCCCACACGTCCACCTAATCGCATCCGTTGATCACATAGGCGCACCTCTACTCTGGAAATCGTCAGAGCTAGCCGCCCGGAAGGAAGGGGGTCGAGGGTACGCGTGGCTGTGGCACGATCTGACTACACTCGTTCCCTACGATGCTGAGCTCGCCCATGCGGATCGCTCGACGATCTCGGGTGCACACAGCAGTGGTGCGCGTGCAACTCAAGATACGGCCGCTCTGTCCGCAACGGTTGCAATGACGGAGACGGCGGCGCAGCACATCCTGGCATCAGTGACTCAGAAGGCGAAGAAACTTTTCATGCTGATGGGGAATAAGCAAATGGATCGCATGGACGAGGATGCGGGAGCGGCAAATGTCAACGCGAACGACCAGGAGCCATATGCCATCGGTTACGACATGCTCTTCACCATTGCACGAGATAACTTTGTTGCGTCGAATGACACCGCGTTGCGATCACTACTAGGAGAATTTAGGGATCACGGACTTGTTGTAGGGGCGGCTGGGGTGGGAGGTGAAGTGTTATGGATCCCATTGCGGAGAGAACGCTTGGTCAAAGTCCTCCAAAATTTGGGCGAGGTGCCCTAAGTTTGGGCGATGACTTTAACTCTATTGTAATATCAACATCTTCTCGGGCGTCGTATATATGTTAACGAGCATGTCTTCATTCTTTCAGCCTGGGAGCACTGCTCATTGAACGTTGGGACGATGGTTCAACTTCTTTCCAATTTTGGACGTTACCGGGATACGGTGCCCGGAGTGCGGCTACATCGTTTGGTATTTCTCTAGCCTGCATCCTTATCTCGTACGAAACTGAATACACTGCTTCGAAGGTGGACATCCTCGGGTTGAATTGAAGGAGTTTAGCGTCACTGTCTCGGGTTGGAGGGGTCTGTCGAGTCTCGTTGGATCATTCCGTCCTTGACGACTTTATTCCACCACCCATCGACCGTGGCCTTTTTCTGTGGATGTACGGCCTTGCGCAATGTGTCGCGAGCACTAGACCTGCGCATGCTCGTCTACGCCTTTCCTGGACATATATAGCCCGATCCTGCACATTCCTGAGCGCTATGTGACGAGGACTCGGAGATCGTACGGAAATACACGATGCTTGGTACCACATATGTCGCTCAGATACCATTCCCCGCGATACTTTGCTCGGACTTGAGAGATTGAATAATACAAGGAGAGCGATTTTGAGCTGTCCTGGACGACTTCTCTTCTTCACATGGCTATGGGTAGCTAGACTTCTTTTAGATAGCAAGGACTACACAGCTGGTGCAAGCTCGACTTGCATTTCTTTGTTTCAATGTCGTCGCGACGACGCGGAAGTCATCACGTTGTTTGCTATTACCCGATTGGGAGATGTGGCGGATCTCGCCCTCCCGCGCCACCTGCCGCATCGCCGATGCGCTTTATTGCTGTAGCTTCACTTTGCGCAGTCCTTCCAGGCTCAAAAGCAAACATGTTTAAGAAGATCCACTCTGCAGAATCATCGCATTTGCTAGCTCTCAGAGAATCCACACCGCCCCGTGATTGTATTCTACTTTGCCTCCTTTTGAAACTTCCCCTCACTTCATATCGACATTTCCCCTCGAGCCTGCAATGCTGCCTGTCCTGCACCAAATACAAATAATATGCGCATTGTACATCTGAGGATACCACTCACCAGCAAGGATCCCGAAAAACCAGTTTTTGTCTCGTCAAAAATTAAATCACTGGTTTATGCCTATTAAACTTGCTAGCGTTCTAGAGAGGCGAAGAAAAAGGCTAAAAACCTCAAAAAACTCTCTCTGACTGGGAATTGAACCCAGGTCTCCCGCGTGACAAGCGGGCGTACTGACCATTATACTATCAAAGATAGGATGAGAGGAGGTAACCGCTGAGCTACGGAACCTTGGAAATGAGACACAGTAAAACTTTTATGGTCTGTACTGACAGTATCTTAAGTAGCAGACAGACCGCGAGGCTCGGACAGACCCTCAAAAAATTGACGAGATGATCTTGACATGATCCCATCTTGCCATGATCATTTGCAAAAGCGACGAGTTTCAGAAAAACCCGGGTTTTTTGCATCCGATACCCGCTTCCGATTAGCGCGTACTGTATAGATTCGACCTTAGGTTCGTCGATTATTTTTGTGACCTCGGTCACGCTAAGTTCGGAGGTTTGTTGGGCACTTTTGGCTGTGACCCAGGTTCATTTCAGCCACAATTTCGCCAAAATTAGCAATTTATTTCATTTTAAATGAAAATTTAATACATTTTGTCACAATTTCAGTTCGTGGGCCAAGTTTCAGTGGGACAGTCACGCGAAATAGGTTCAGTTCGGGACCCTGCGTGACGCGTGACAAACTTGAGGTCGAATCTATACAGTATGCCCCTGATCTGGAATCCTCATTGAAGTTTCAACTTTCAAGACACAGCGATGTGCAGGCTCATTCGGTCTCCGGTATCCAGCTGTGTATCTTCAGTCCACACTCTATTCTATTGTATTTGTAGATAAACAAAAAACACTGAAGTACTATAGGGGGTAGTCGCGACACGGACTCCAACCGAGCGCCGACATGATACACATCTCCGACTTCCATGCATGAGTGCATAGCAGTATCAGCGTACGCATAGCTGAAAGTAGTGAACGTATCTGGGCACGTACGGGGAATTTACCGCGAGAGATCTCTCATGTCGCACGACGCTTGAACCCGGCGCAGCACGCGTGCAGAAATAGAGATTGGACACGGTTCCGAACCTGGCAGCACATAGGATGCATCGATAATACTTGTCGCCGCTCCGCGAGCGCGAGGCGGCACAGCGACGTGAGGCATGAGAATGGGCGATGAAGACCGCGGAGTCATTCCCAGCGTATAGTTCTTGGCGCCCTCTCTGTCAGGATGCGGAAGCATATCGTGCCAGTGAAAAGTAGGCACCCACGCATCTTGGCACGGAGAGCAAAGATACGGTGTCCGTAAGTGCACACGCGAAGATTTCGTCCGTGGAGTTGTCCGTGCCTATGCGATATCTGCATTCCGCTTGGGCTCCTAATTTAGTACGCTGCTATGCATGTAGAGTTAATATCAGCAGGCGATTTGACGTACCGCGATGCAGTCGGGGCTTCAATGGTGGGATATCAAGGAATAGTGTGATCCTATGCAGATACAGAACGACTTCAAGCAACAAGCGGACGCTCTCAGAACTCGTCAAAATAAGGCATCGTGGTGGATGCTACTCAGGTTCAGCCTGTTTGCGCAGCTCATACTAGCACTAGGGCAGAAATGATAAGCAGTCTGAGGCGCGCGAAACACAAATGAGTCGGACATACGTGAGTGCGTGTGCTTGGCAGTGGAACTTTCCGTTGAATCAACGGTGTCCGTGCGCTGACTCCTCTGTACACCTTGTCTTTTTTTGGACCTGTCATATCATGTCGATCCTCGTCCCCACTCGTTAGCTTCGCGTTTTTTTACCGTGTTCGTCCGCTTGAGTGTAGTCACACGGACTCTACTGAGCGACTAGCTGTCAGAGAATGAAGGCGACGCAATCAGCAAGCGCAGAAGACCATTCGAAGGGGTCAAGCGCACAGCACTATTAGGACGATGTAGACCCATGTAGACGTTGGAAAAGCAGAGCTTGGCATTGTCGCAAGGCGGCCAAGACGGTGGCTGTGATAAAGTGCGGTCACCTGTTGCTGTATACCTTAAACTCAGATAGCAGACGGTCCGTCCGCAACAATCCCGGGCCGCTCCATGTCCTGTCAAAAGAAATCGTTTAAATATTGGGTGGCGACTCCCGTTACCACCTTTACTGACCTGAAGTGTGCCCAATGCCCTCTACAAGCCCCACAGGCTTCAGCGTCCAAAATGCTTGCGCGTCTCGTTTTTCTCGACCACTCCGAGGATGCTTTCGCAGCGCCAGGCACGCACGACCTTACGAAACTTTTCTCGAACACACTTATTTGGAATGAGTGGTTCGAACTTCGCGGAAGCTGAGGGCGAGACCGGAAGTCTGCGAAATCATCGCTCGCATTTTCATAGTACGTGATTTTTTCATGCTCAAGTTGGAATCATCTCACATACCAATTTACGTGGTACCAGATGGTCGCTAGCATGATTTGCTGATATTTCTACTGCGCTTTCCTTGGGCACACGGCCGTCGACACTGCTTGTAACTCCTACAGCCAGAGACGACCCCAGGACTGCTCGTCGACCCTTCCCCGCCTATGTCATTGCGGAGCCGCTGGGCCGAACCCCAGTGTCTGGATTTTGATTTCTACATCGGTCATCCGCGCCGCGTTGTGCGGCTTCTGGAGCGCAAGCCAAAAAGTCTTTTTTGGGGCGTCTCATGTCTGTGAGTTCTTTACCTCGACGAGTCCGCAGTCACATCTAACATTAACATGAACGTAGCTCACGGTGCAGTCAAAGGCATTGAAAATACATTCGGGGGTCAGTCTTCCACTGCAAGGAGTGGACAAGGAGCGTCATTCCAATCACCAGCTGGCACCGGCAATCGCACATCCCGGTAAAAAGATCATCCTGGATTGTTCTACCTCGACGGCGCCCAACGGCGTCCCTGATGTGCTCTTAGGAGCCTTGCGCACTGCAAAATACTTTACACCGTGCCTGTGGCCGTTGCGACCGCTGCAGCGCTGCCGCTGCAATACAGGGGTCTTACCAGGCGTTTCGAAATTCGGATCTATGTTCAGGCCTACACGCGGATGCTAAGGTCAAATCCAAAGGTCCCATATCACACGTTGGTATCGAGAATACGTGCGTTGGCTTCCCCCGCCATCCGTATTACTCGTCTTTCTGACGCTCTCATACGTGATGGCGTGCCTATTGCTAGCATGTCGAGTGATTCAATTATGCCGTCGGAATCCTCGCCGGTGTAAGGAACGTAACACGCGGCCGGAACCTCAGGGGAAAACCACCACAGCCAATTGCGACGCGGCCGAGGCTAGGCTATCTCGATCGTGTTGCGGACAAATCATGCGGGGTCGAGCGCTCTTCGCAGAACCCATTACCCGGCCCACAAAGCTGGTGATCGCTTTCCTGTCGCGCATCTTAAAAGGCGGCCCCCTCCGCTTTCTAAGCTACCCCGGAATCCCCATACTCATCTCCCACTTTCTTCCCCGCATCCACTTCCTCGATGACTGACAGCTCTCATATCGAAGCGAAAGACCGCGCGCTGCACACCGAGCATGTCGATGACAGTCATACCACCTTCTACAACCCGTATACTGAATACCCCAACCGATGGGCACGGATACGGTATGTGCGCTAGCCTGATATTGCCCTTGAAGTCGCTAATGCCCCTGTTTTTGGACAACAGAGCACCCCTACGTGAATATGCTGCAGAATTCCTTGGGACCATGGTCCTTGTAATATTCGGAACGGCCGTCGACTGCCAAGTCGTGCTGTCTACAAACACTGCTGTCGCTGCTTCCGCTAAAGGCGTGCGTACTTTCATGTCTCTGTTCCGTTCCATGCTGATACTTCTCTGCTTTTCCAGGACTATCTCTCCATCTCCTTCGGATGGGCATGTGGCACGGCTCTCGGTGTCTGGTTGTCCGCAGGTATCTCTGGTGGACACATCAACCCGGCCGTAACGCTTGCGCTCGCTGTCTGGCGCGACTTCCCATGGCGGAAAGTGCCCGGCTACATTGCAGCACAGCTCATGGGCGCCCTGTGTGGTGCCGCATGCGTGTATGCAAATTACTTCCACGCGATCGATATCTTCGAAGGAGGTCGCGGCGTGCGCACAGTCCCCGGAACGGCAGCGCTATTCTCTACATATTCCGCTGACTACATGACGAATGTTTCCGCATTCTTTGACGAGGTATGCATTCTACATAGCCCAGTAGCTTACATATCTAACCATCCGCTGTTGCCTAGTTCCTCGGCACTGCTGTTTTGCTTCTCGTTGTCCTCGCCGTCACCGACCGCAAAAACTCGCCGCCCCCTAGTGGCTTAGTCCCCCTCGTACTATTCATCACTATCCTCGGCATCGGCGCTTGCCTCGGCATGCAAACAGCCTACGCCATCAACCCCGCGCGTGATCTTGGACCACGAATCCTTACGGCGATGGTTGGCTACGGCAAAGAAGTCTTCACTTACCGGAACCAGTACTGGCTCTGGTGCGCCATCCTCTCGCCTATCCTGGGCGCGCAAGTCGGCACCCTCATCTACGATGCCTTCTTGTACACGGGAAGCGAGAGCCTTCTCAACCGACCGTGAGTAACGTTTGTCCCCTTTCCAAAGCGCAGGACATTGATTTCCTCTTCCAGTAATGCTACCCACCGCCGCTTGCACCAGACTGCACGCCCCCTGCAGGACAACAAGCTCCCCGGTGGTGTCGATGGAGATCGCGAATTGAGCATGGTTTAATCCGTCCTCCCCACCTTTCGCCCTCCTCCCAATTCTTCCCCTCCCACGCCCTCACGACGGTCACGTAACAGGGTATACCCCCCACAACCCCGCAATGTATTTCTACGCTACGCCGTACCCAGCGCTGCGACGACATAAAGTCGCGCATCGTTCCTCACGACCCTCACCGCAAATATGGCACGCCTCCTCACCTCCGCAAAATGGCTGCGCACGAGAATGCAACCGTAGTGGCCTATTTTATCCATAACATTATTTATGCACGTTTTCATCGTATTCATGCAATATTCATGTAATAGGTTGTACTGGTTCGAATGACGAGCATTATGCTGGCCGCTATAGCGTTTCATACTTTCTCAGTGGTTAGCGGCCCGAAGACTGTCGACCGCGGGTGAAGCTGAGAATCACATGAATGGTCTCTCCCCTTAAGTCTTTACCCCGCGTTCATGTAGCTGTGCATTATTACCGCCCTCACCGCGTCTCACCTT